TTAAGTTCAATACATTTAACAGAAAACCTAAAATTTCATTGCTTTAGCACACAAAGGCCCAGAGCAGGTTGGGGTCACTAGGGATCCAGGCTCCTTCTAACTTTATGCTCATGATTCTCAACAATTGGCTCCTGGCTTCTAATCTAAGTATCCCAGGTGGCTGTTCGAGTACCAGGCATCACATCCTTGTTGTGGATATCAAGAAATACAATTGGGGGAAGCAAACAACAAAAAAAGACCCCCCAAAATCTGTTGGCTGAATTAGCTCCTTTAAGACACTTTCTCAGAAACTTTATACACAGCATTGCACTTGCTTCTCACTGACCAGAATTTTGGACACGTTGCACTTAAAGGGGTGCGGAAATAATGGAAAATAATTCTGCATGAGGAAAATCATAGCTCTGCCTCTAAGAAAGAACTAGGTTAGGGGATAGTTGGTAGATAACCCGTGGTCTCTGCCACCGTCCCACAAAATACCAAGGAACACGTGTTTGTCAGTGACAAGTGTCCTCATGTTTAACTTCAATATTAAAATATCAATATCAAATTAATATTTAATATTAACAATCAATACTTTTCATAGTAATTATTTATGTGTATGTATATTATATTGCATTGTGTATTTAATATCAATTAATAGTAAATTAAAACATTAAATCAAAGCAACTCAAACTTTTTCTTAATTTTCTTCCCAGTCTGAAACAAAAAGAAATAATCATGATAGACTGATTACTTACTATGACAAATTTGGTTCTGACAGGTTCTTAGCCACACCTATGATACTCAATGTCAGCTACACCCAGAAAAATAAAAAGCTAAAAACATACATGATGACAAACTGGCTCATTATGAAAAGAATACATCACGATACCTATTCGCCAAAATGGCCTCAGGATGCTGTGTGTTGCTTACACTATCAGGGCTTTTATTCAGACAGATTGGTTTGTAAACATAATTTGGTAAATTTTTGGGATAGGCCTGACCAAAAACAATTAATGTCAACATGTAACTTTTTTTCTTAATTATGGATTAGCGGAATAAATTTACTAAGTGACAATGAACATGCCTTTTACTTAAATTTGGTTGCCTTCTGTGTCATTGTATACCCTCCAAAGTATGGCATGCTTAGGTACAAAGTTCAGAGTCAATATCCGGCTACATAAGAAAACAGAGTGGGGGTTCTGCTTTGTGGGTGGTGAGAGGCAAGATGGTCTTGAATTTGGGTCACAAGGGACAAATTTCCTTACGACACAATGGCCGTAGACCTGCGGCCTGAGGCCACCTGTTTCTAACTCTAATTGGCTAATTGTGTTGTTTACCTGTTAGTCTTTGCAGGTTCCTCTCAGGGGATCCTCTCTGTTCCATGTGCAGTCTTGTCCAAATGCAGATTCTGATTCCCTAGGTCTGAGGTGGGGCCTGAACTCCCTTTCCTCACAAGCTCTCAGGTGCTGTGGACCACACTGAGCGGCCAAGAGCCGGTGGTACAGAGGTGAACGTGATAGGACCTCACGAACAGTTTCCTGTTTCGTGGATCTGGGGGTGGAACCCAAGAATTAGCATGTCTAACAAGTTCCCAGGTGATGCTGTGGCTACTGGTCCAGGAATCACACTTCAAGAATTTCAGTGTGGATCTCAAATAGCTAAGAAATATCTCAAATAGGTAGAACAGCAAGCGATCCCTCTTATAGAAGACCTACTATGGACAAAATATCTTTGTGAATTTGGGTTTTAAGTTTTATGTAAATGAACTATGTAAATGTCATCCACCCTTAATTCCAAAATTTTCTACATATTTTATAGCAGAGGCAAAGCCACAACAAGGAAATGCTTTCATTCCACTTGGCGTTAGAGTTCCTTTTCTTTTTTCTTGAACTATAGCTGGCAGAAAATAATTCTGCATGAATTCTTAGTGTGAAATCAAGGTAAAACCTTGAGTATCTTAAAGGAAACCTTGAAGTTCTTTTTGAAATTAATAATGCCATGTTATTGTATTTAAAGGTCCCTAAACATGGGCAAATAAAAACAGACTGCAAATAGGTAACTGTTGCACAATAACGACTAGATTTTAACAAGTTTAAAATCCTGTATATTCTCAGGCCAAATACAGAGGAAAGCCATACTTCTCCATTTTTCCCCTCTAAAGTTATGAAATAAACAACATTCAACTCTACAGATTGGTTTTGTTTAGGATATTTTATTCCTATCAGTCAAAAAACTTACTGTAAGAAGTAGAGATTTTTAAATAATTTGATCTATATTTACAAATTGTATATTATAAATCTACTTTACACATTTGTTTTTATAATGTTTCTTATATACTGTACTTAGTCTATGTATTTGAAAATGTTATTATTTTATCGTTGGTAAGAATTTGAGGTCAAGGTGTTTTTTTAATGCAACACTATGCTTTCAAAGCGTTTTTTTAAAAAATTACGTTTGCTCAATTTTATTGGGCCCTACATAATATAGAAGAGTCTATCCATTCTTAGTAATGCTTTCTCCTGCTGTAGTTTTATTTTCTTTCTCCCACATAATTAGAAAGACAAATGTAATGTCTGGCCAAATGTAAAGTTCCTTTAGATTTATTAGAAAAGCGGATAAAAGAGACCAGAGACATGAAGTGATATACATTGTTTGCTTCATTGCCTAACTAACCTAATGATGATTTTTAAGTAGTACAGGACGTTTACAGCTAACACACCATAACAAGGGGGTTAGCTTTTCCTTTCTATGATAATAAAAATCCTCAACTCTAAAATATCTATTGTGTACATTTTCCAAATAACATAGCACATTCCATTTTTAAAAAGTAGATGTATGCCTAGATATCAAGTGTTATAAAATATTTTAATAAACTCAGGAGGAATTAAAAACTCAGTAAAGTTAAGTCAGTATTTAACGAAGCTCATTTATAATGATTAGATTGATCTTTATCTATTTTGATGTTTCCATGGACTTTTTTACATGAATCAAGAAAAAGAAAACTTAATTTTACCTAACTATAGATTTAGTTATAGAAAAATAATTGATAATGATTCAATTACTGACAATTAATTTATATGAAATAATCCATAAAATACAATGCTTTATTAATAAACTAAATTTGTAAACAGTCCAGTGGAGTTTCAAAATGTTCATCAATCATATAATTAACATTTCATTTTGAGTGTAAACAGAAAATGACTATGAATTTTCTACATAAATCAAAAAACAGTCACAGTTTCTCTGTGAGATAAATTTCATTGATATTTGAAAACTTTTTAAGTAGCCAAAACTTCTTAGTACAAATTCATTTCCCACACTTTCTAATAATCCTGGCAAAACTTTCAGTGTCTATTCTTGCTGGCCAAGCAATCTTTCTTTGGCCTTTAACTGTACTTTATGTTCAGATATAAGTTTTCTCTTCCATATTGAAGCAAAGTTAAGAAATAAGACATAAACAAACACATGTAAGTTAATGTTTGGTTAGCAAATTTTAACCATTCAGAAAACATTCTGCACCTACATTAAAGAGTATTACTTATCATGGTATTTGATATATTTCCAAAATGTTAATATTACATTTTAGAATTTCAAAACTGGTATCATTGTCAGAGTAACATGTATGTCAGACTACAGAAATTGTACTTCCCTCCAAAATTATTTTCCTCACAATGACTATAAAATCATAGAATGTGGACAGCTTATAAAATAAAATCTTACTTATTAAAACTACTTTTTTTGCCGAAACCGGTTTGGCTCAGTGGATAGAGCGTCGGCCTGCGGACTGAAAGGTCCCAGGTTCGATTCCGGTCAAGGGCATGTACCTGGGTTGCGGGCACATCTCCAGTGGGAGATGTGCAGGAGGCAGCTGGTCAATGTTTCTCTCTCATCGATGTTTCTAACTCTCTATCTCTCTCCCTTCCTCTCTGTAAAAAATCAATAAAAAATATATTTAAAAAAAAAATAAAACTACTTTTTTTTATTCTGCTCTAATATCCAATTTTATGCCAAGAAACGCCTTTAATTAGGAACTGCTGAGAGTAAGGAGACTAATCACAAAAATTTAAAAAAGTAACCACTTATTTTTTTAATAGTTAACTAGTTCATAGTTTTATGAAAAAACAGTTTTTATTGACTAAGAAATTTCTGTGTGATGTATGCTGTTGTTGTTTATAAATATACTGTATAGTTTGGCACAGAAAGCTCTTAAAATATTACTTAAATATATGGTTTCTTTCTAAATTAATAATATATAGTATCCTATTAAAATATTAGGCATTTAAAATAATTTATTCACTTACATGTTCATTCATCTATCATTCAACAAGTGTTTGGTAGGTGTTGCTCTAACAGGTTTCAGTGTTTAGCATACACACACCAGACTCGCTTTATTTCTGATTTTCCACTTTCTTATGGTCATTGCCCATGTGGGCTGAGTATTGCGTTCCAGTATGAGTGAGTGGCCACTCCGTCCACAGCCTGTTCAGGGTCTAAGCACTGCGGGTCGAGCTGCAAGCCTAATGCCTGCAGGGCTTGTCCCACAAGTGCCTGCAGAGGGTGGGCCTGTGGCAGAGGAGGGAGTGCGTGTTCTTGCCAAGGTATTTATGTTTTTAAAAAGTAACTATACATCCTGACGAGCAAGCAAAACAGATTTGTGGGTCTAAGTCAACCCCTGGGCATCAAGGTTGCAGGTCTTTCATGGAAATCCTCCGGTGTGATCCCTATCAACTCTCTGTGGTTCGAATTGCTGTAAACTTGTCCTGCTCCAAGTCCTCCCTCAATCCCAGAAGCTGTGGGAACCTGATAGGCATTCACAGGGGCAGAGATCCAAGGACTGGCTCCCAGGGCCCTGAAAGTACACTGCGCCAGGAGCGACTGTCCCCAAGTGAAGACTGACCGAAGGACACCCACAAACCCTCCACCACCAGCCACTGGGCAAGGAGCAATGTTCTAGCACCAAAGACAAAATCTCTAAAAGCATAAGTCTCCCCGAGGTTTTGAAGAAAGTGTTTGTCATCTAAAACAAAAATTCATTTTTATTAGACTCCGCAATACCCAGCTCTCTCTCTTCCACAGGATACAAGTAACAAAAGATGCTGAAAGGGGCGATATGTACAGGCTCGCAGAAGAAAATGGACCCATGAAACTTATTTCTAGAGAACACGAAGCTATGTCAGACTCGGGAATGGAGGGAGCTTGACATGTGTAGTGACTTATCCACACCACTCGGAGTTTGCCGCCGATACATTAGCAGACGCGGGGTCACGTTTAGGTTCAGTGAACGCCTCCATCTGCAGCTGCAGGTGGCACTCTCTGAACAGGCCCCTCACTTCCTTATACACGTCTTGGCCAGCGTCCTAAATTTGGGTTCCAGATGATCGAGAAACTCCAGCCCTTCCTCCTCCTGCCGGTCACTGCAGCAGCCCACCGAGCCGGCCATCGACCCCTTGCCCTCGTAGTTGTAGGAACGGACGTAGTCCTCGGAATGTTTGTGCTCCTCGTCTTGTCCACACAGATACACTTTCTGTAGCAAAAAGAGCACATTTTATTATTTTTTAAAAACACCTAAACATATTAGCATAAAAAGAATGTCTTTGATTTACCTTTGACTGTTTAATTTTTAATCAGAGTGTGTCCTCTAATGGATTCCTACATATAAAAAATGCACATGATTGGTCTGTATTATAGTCATTCTTAAAATATAGCAAATATATCAATGCTGCCAGTGAAAACATTTAGGAAGAACTAAAGCTGCACATATATCACACGACCGACTGACTAGTTCCCATCTGAACTTCAGATTTGTATCGTTGAAATGGGCCTCTGTAACTTTGCGTATTTGGGGAAACCAATGTCGGCTACGATTCTTATTGTTGATACGCTATTAAATAGCTATAATAATGTATTCTATTAAACTGGCTAATATTAACCTATGTTGATTAACCTGGACATAAAACAAGAAACTGAAAACCCCAGATAAAACTTTAAGGGTTTATCTGTATAGTGTTGACAGCCAGGATTTTATAACCATGCGAAGGAGTCAACACACTAAGAAATGTTTATCATTTATGATGTGGACATTACTCTCTAACAAGTGTTTCACTCGGGTGACTTTCCTTGTAACTTTTAGGGAAGAAGCTATCAGTCTTTGTATACTTCCTAAACGTGTCTACATCTGCCACTCCTAGATAAAGTTTTGCAAACCTCATTTTAAAAAGCGAACTTCACAAAATCATTTTTTCCTTTGGGATTGGATTTGACATCCATGTCTCTAATAATTCAACATCTAAAAGATGAGGAATTCAGGGTGTATGAAGAGTAACACTTTGGGGACATCCTGATTGGCAAACAGTGTTAACTTCCATGTAATATGAACCAAAGACACGGGCACTCACTTCGCCAAGCCGGGGCTGGGTAAAGCTGTGCCAGTCGGTGTACGTGTATCTGCCAGCCTCCATCACACCCTGCCCTGCCCCCTTGACAGAGTCCAAGGTCTGGTGTCCGCCTCCGCCTTTGACCATCTCAAAGCTCTGCTGTGTTTTGACTCCCTGGCCCCCGAGGGTGCCCACAGACATGCTTGTGTCGCAGACGTTGGAGGTCTGTGTGGGGAGCCTAATGTTTGCCTCCTAAAAACAGAGCGAGAGTTAGAACATGAGTGACTCGAATGGAAGCTAACAGCTTGCTTTCATGTCTTTCCCGCCACAGGCAAACCACTTCCTTACTGTGCGTCTCAGTTCCCCAAACACCGAGCCAAGACAGTCACGGTCCCCCTAGCGTAGGGGTTAGGGTTGCGTGGTGGCCCCCCAAAATGTTTATGTTGAAGCCCTAACTCTTAGTGCCTCAGAATAGCATTCTAGCTGAAGGCAGGGCTACTCAGATGTTATTAAAGCAGTGGTTCTCCACCTTCTGGCCCTTTAAATGCAGTTCCTCATGTTGTGACCCAACCATAAAATTATTTTCGTTGCTACTTCATAACTGTAATGTTGCTACCGTTATGAATCGTAATGGAAATATCTGATATGCAGGATGGTCTTAGGCGACCCCTGTGAAAGGGTCATTCCACCGCCAAAGGGGTCGCGACCCACAGGTTGAGAACCGCTGAGTTTAAGGAAGATGAGGCCATCCTCCATGAGGGCCAGGCCCTCCTCCAAAAGGTGAAAGCGGGACATGGACACGCCCACAAGGAGAATGGCGTTGGGAGGTGGGAGTGATGCTGCAGGAGCCAGAGACAGCGATTCCCCAGCTCCTTCAGAGGGAGCATGTCCCTGCCAGCACCCTGGTCTCTAATTGCTACTCAGAACGGTGAGACCATAAATTCCTAATGTGCAAGTCACTACGTTGTGGTATTGGTTATGGCAGCCCCAGGGAATGAAGGCAGTAGAACTATGGCGTTTAAATGACTTAATACATGCAGGGCACGTGGAGCTCTGCTTAGCATAGTAAGTGCTCAGTAAACAATAGTTGTCTTATTATTGCTATTATTATGTAATCAACTGTCATCATTGCATCACCATACAAGTAAAAAAAACCTGAAATATGATTTACCATTACTTCTTCTCCAGGCCCTTCAGTATTTGATACAATTAAGTTTTGCTGGGCTACATCATCTGGAATACATTTCTTTACTGTTCTCTTAGTAACAACACAGAAACATGTAAACAGAGCACCTAAAAAATAAAAATATTTAGGTAAATAATAATATTTTTCAGGCTGACATATATTAAATCGTTTGAATCATACAATTGTTCAAAATTCTCTTTCCAGAACTTAAAAAAACACACACTACCAGGGTTTTTATTTCATAAACTGAGATACCTTTGGGTCATAAAATTAAAACAGAATATTAACAAATGCAGGTAGGTTGTGTGTAGTTAAATAGATTGTTAATAAAAAAGCAAGGAGGGAGGCGGGAGGTGGAAGAGAGGGCGGGAAGTGTGGCAGGGATTTCCATTGCGTTTGCATCTCTAAAAAACAGTTGGCAGAATGCAAAATCTGAGCATCCTTTGCATGTGTTACTCTTCCTCAGTGGCTCAGCATATGGCCATTTCCACTCATTCCACCCACTGGCGTCTTCTGCAAATGTATGCTATATCGCTTCACTAACAACACTGATAATTCGCTACTCTTTTCACGAATTCTTTTTGTGCACTCACTACCACGTAAACTTGGTTGGCTAAAAGACCAATATTTTGTATGAGAGGGAATCTTAACATTAATTGTATCCAACCTCTCATTTTACTTCTGGAAAAAAGAGCTCAAAGAAGAGGAAATGGTTTACCCAGTGTCTCCCAGATAGTATCAGAAGAACTAGGGCTATCCCTCTGAAAAGTATTCTAATCTGCTTTTATTGACACATTTTTTTCTTCCATGACTCAGGACCCTACGTTATTGACTACATGCAAGATTATACAAAGGGTACATTTAGCAAAGACTATACATGTCATCGATATAAAGAATTGCATGTGTTTTTTAAATAGTAGAAAAAAATTCAGCTAACACATTCTAGGTGAGTGTACTCACATAACAACAGTGCGGAACCCAACACCATGGCAAGAATCGCCCATTTCCCGAGGATGACATTCGGGAGCTTGGCATCTCTGTCCCGTACTTGACTGCTCATTCTGCAGTCGGACGGCGTTGTACAGTCACATACTCTGACCGACAGTACGTGCTTGGCAGCAAGACCGTGTCTGTCTTTTATGGTGATGGGCACATTATAGTAGTTATAATCCAGATGTTGTTTTGCACGAAGAATGGCAGGGGGGGGGGGGGGGGGGGGGGGGGGGGGGGGGGGGGGGGGGGGGGAAGAAGAAGACAGAGAATATCTATTAATATGACCGCAATATTCTTCTGACTGGGAATTCTTAGGGTGGGGAAGAGGACTAGGGGGCACAGAATTTAGCTTAGGAGAAAAATTCTAGTGATCCCTTTTTCTTTCTTAAAAATGATTTGAATTCTTGAAAAAAAGGAAAACGGATATTGTTTATGCTTATATTAGACTAATCTATACTTAACATGTTATTCAACTATTATATTAAGATAAATGTATGTTTTCTTAAAATATATCCAAAACAAGAGCCTAAACTTCATATATTACTTATTGCTTTAAAGAAAGCAAGGTATTATTCTTTGGGGGATCAATAAAAAAATTTCCTAAAATGAACATTTATTTATTATCATGATGTTAGGTAAAAGTTAAGACCATCCGCCATCTTAAGTTTCTGTTGATGACAAGATTTAGCATCATTACACACCATCCTTTGATCCTAAGGTCCAATGTTTGCTGGCAGAATTATCCAGAAGGAATTGAAAAGGCGGGCCATTCTCAGGCCCATCCGCATCCATCGGGGAGAGAACAGCGAAGTCCTGAGCGTGCTGGCAAATGGTCACGTCCTTGTCCACCTGTGGTGGGTGGTCATTGTTATCTTCCAGAAGAACCACTAGCGTTCCAGTGCAAGATCTGCCACCTAAGGAGATTCAAAACAAGGCATATCTTCACTTAAAAAAGGTTTCCCACCATCTCTGTGACACACACGTGGCTGCTTTCTACTAACTGTCTCAACTTGGGGAATGGCAGTCACATTCCCTCTCAGTTCTCACTGGCTTGTCACTGACTCACTGAACTGTGAGCATCGTTCATCCTCAGAGCTGTCACATTCCCCAGGACAGCCTGGTGAAACGCCTAGCGTGTGTTGGCTAACGTATAACTTACTACGAACACACTGAACAGAATGCACTTAAAATGTTTATACTTCTTGAGCACATCCGGGTTATCCATGAGGCTGGGACATAGATTTCTACATCTTAGATTTGGCATGTCATTTTTTGTGTTAGCACTATAGACAAAATTAATATCATATCTCTGTTCTCCGTGTTTTCCACCTCTCCAAAGAGTACCTCATTAACCAAGCTTCTGTATTTGTGTGAAATCTCCTACCTTTATCTTTTAATCTGGGCAGCTCTTAACTGATTTACACTTCTTATGATATTCATACTTTCTTTTATACCATGGAACCTGCTATGAGAATATAATCATCTTTTAATTGATATCATGTGAATTTTTTAAAAAAACTTCACCCAAGGACATGCTTAGAGAGAGGAAGGGGGGTGGAAAGAGAGGGAGGGAGAGAGAGAAACATTGATGTGAGGAGAAGAGAAAGACACATCCACCAGGTGCCTTCTGTATGTGCCCCCCAGGGACAAACCCAAAACCTAGCTATGTGCCCTGACCGAGAATCACAGAGTCAACCATGCTGTGCACAGGACAACACTCAACATACTGAACCACTCCAGCCAGGCAATATCATGTGAGAGTTTGACCTTGACTTATGAATTCTAGTTTCCATCGTAACTTGTCTAGACAATCAACGTTTGTGGAATGAATTAGTAGATACAAATTCTTGTTTGACAGCATAATTGTGGCTTTGAACCAGTCAGATTTCACTTTTACTTATACAGGAGCAGCAGTTCACCCAAGATTATGGAATAATGGCAACATGAATTCTGTCTCTCAATTAATGGTTTCCCCATTCTTTGGTAGTTTTTTGTTTGTTTGTTTATTTGTTTTGTTTTCCTATGTTGAAAGAACTACATTAAAGGTAGGTGAGCCAGTCTCAGCCTATGACTGACCAATGTTATGGCTAGACCGGCCACCATGGTTCTCATTAGGATTGCAAAATGCCCTCAGGAAACTCTGAAAAAGAAACAAGTTTTTTACTTGTTTTTAAAAAAACAAGAAATTACATGGCTCACAGGGTGCAGTGGGTGGGGTGGGGTGGGGTTAGGTGGAGGGAAGGGAAGCCTGAGATCAGGGTGAGGGGGATCCTAGGGGCTCACAGCTCATTCTTTTTAAAAAAATCTATTTTATTGATTTTTTACAGAGAGGAAGGGAGAGGGATAGAGAGTTAGAAACATCGATGAGAGAGAAACATCAATCAGCTGCCGCCTGCACACTCCCCACTGGGGATGTGCCCACAACCAAGGTACATGCCCTTGACTGGAATCAAACCTGTGACCCTTGAGTCCGCAGGCCAGCGCTCTATCCACCGAGCCAAACCGGTTAGGGCACAGGCTCATTCTTTATTGGTGAATTTAAAACATAAGCGCAGGAATGTAAAGAACAAGGAGTGCAACATGTTTATTCAAGACAGACAGCCATCTTTGAAGCAAACCTAGAGTCCGGCACTGCATTACGAAAAGAAAAGCCAATGGCCAGTAAAGACACTAACCACACAACACTGTTCCGTGTTCAAAATGGCTTCCATCTGCAGGATATGCTCACAGGTTTTGAGAGGCTCCTTTATGACATTTGAAAAACATTTCTTCACAAGACAGGCTCTAGAACTAACCTTGGCAAAGGATTGCAAACTACAGCAAAAGACTTGTTCAAGCGTCATTGCTTGATCATTTCTTTAGCAAATAGGACAAATGTTTTATTCCTCATTAAAAAAACAAACCTGCCCTGAACCCAACTGTTTTAGGTGGTTTGAACCTTTTCAGCCTGATCAAGACATAGTAATCTAGCCTGGACGTGGTGGCTCAGTGGTTGAGGGTCGACCTATGAACCAGGAGGTCACGGTTCGATTCCCGGTCAGGGCCCATGCCCAGGTTGGGGGCTCCATCCCTGATCGTGCAGGAGGCAGCCGATCAATGATTCTCTCTCATCATTGATGTTTCTATCTCTCCCTCTCCCTTCCTCTCTGAAATCAATAAAAATATATATATTTTTAAAAAGACATAGTAATCCCAATCTATATTCCTGGAAAAAAGTGGCAGTCCTTGAGGAAGCCCCATGTCCAAGGCAGAGGTCAGTAATATGGAACTTGAACTTTGGACTCCCACCTCCGGCTTTGCGTTATCGATGCACTGGGGCCTAAATTGGGTGGTCTCCAAAAAACAATGCAATCATAATGCAAACATTTTTGCAATAAATTTTGATCCGGAAATAAGCAAGTTTCCCCCCACGATTTTCTTTAAACCATATCCTATGTTTATATTTTATTTCTAGAAAATTGCACCTACCTGCATCGGTTGCAACCACGGAAACATTGTATTGGTCGTTTTTTACAAATTTTGATTCTCTATCTAGCACTTTTACAGTTTTCAGGTCACCAGTGTTTTCGTTAATTTCAAACCAGTTATCTTCATCTCCTAACTTCTTATACCTAATTTTAAGAAATCAAATGTAAATGCTCAAACCAAAAACGGACATCATCTCAAAACCTGTCATTTTGAAAAATACATAGAACTTTCCTAAATTTGAAATCAATTGACATCACAGTTAAAAATAAGGAGCTTTTTGAAAAATACGTTACCTTAAGCCTTCGCCGCTGCGTGTTTCTGGATCCATGGCTTTGTATCCAAGGAGTTCTTGGCCAGCTGGGAGGCCATCTTTACTCTGAATGACTTTGACGGGTGGTTGGCATTCAGGGCCCTCATCGCTGTCTTTAACTTTAACAGTGACAGTTGTCGTGCACATAGAAGGAGGTTGTGAGTTTGGTGCTTTGGAGAACTGTGCTTCATTAACTACACCAATCTGCAAAGTAACTTGGCGAATGGCTTCATAGTTCAATGGCTGTTAAATAAGCATACTTTAATTAGTCAATATATAACACTATAGATAGAAGACTTACAATCATGATTCCAACTTTTCACACAAAAAGGAGTATCATTTTTATGTACACAATGTTACCAAAAGAAGGTGCTAATGTAGTTGAAGACTAATAATTAGCTTCCTATCATGACAAACACTGTCAAATGCAAAATTTCTGTTTTTAAAATTTTACTAATTTTTCTTCACACTTTTTGGGGGGAAGGTCCTGCCTTCGTTTTTCTTTTCATTTTTTTTTCATTTTAAGTTTAAATATTAATAGGAATACAGAATAAGTGTTTGACTAAATTCAAATAGATTACCATTTATTTCATTACTTATCAGATGGCATAACAGTGATAACCAAAACAGCAAAAGTCCCTCCAAGCGAAGTATATAAAATAGATAGACTGCTAGCATATGAGATTTGGCTATAATGGTGCAGTTATCTGAGTATATGAGTTAAAAGACATAATTATATTATTTAGCAGCAACTTTCAAAGCACATTATATTTGGTTTGCTTAGTTCCTAAACAAAATGCTTGGTCCTGAACTGAATCATTAGAAAGAATCCAAAACAATAGCTAAATAATTAGAGACTGAAATCTATCAAGATAACAGAAAAAGAAAACAATAGATAGAAATCTGGAAGTTCTCCTCCACCCCCCAAAAAAGACAAGGAATAGGCGATATAATCATTAAAGGACCTTTTCTAAAAATCTTATGAGGGAATCACAATTTGTACATAAAGCTTCTAACACAATAGAGTCTCTAAGAAATTAATGAGGGAAGTATGTAACAGGTTAGTGAGGGCTATAGGCAGAAGTACTTAGAATAGAACCAGGTTTGGTTAAAGTAATTATTGTAGATGCTAGTAATCATAATTAAATCTTTAAAATCCTAAAGCACTGGCTATCTCAAATATAGGAGATTAATGGGAATAGCTGCTTTATATTCAGTAAATTGTCTTATAAAATGCACTACAGAGAGCCAAAAAAACTAATATGAGCATGAAGGGAATTGAAAAGTCAAGAGGTTTGATTTCAAAGAGTAATTCTCCCATTCTCTCTGTCTATTGTTCGATAAAATGAGGGTTTTGGACAAATAGGTGTCTAAGAATGCTTCTAAAGCTCATATCTGATTACTAAGGCAATATCTCTGCCTTGGCTTGCTCATCTGTAGAACAATGAGTTTTGTGCCTGCCATGCCTTTCCTCTAAGAGAGAAAATGAGGGTGAAATAATAATAATAATAATAACAATAATTGTTTAAACCAATGTAATCATTTCAGCATTGCGTTGTCATTCTCTAGTCATGTACACACAGAAACGTATTCACATACATAAATATAAATGCCTATACATCAGTTAAGTTAGAATTTTAAATATCTATTGATAGATACTGATTAAAGTATTGCTAGATTATTATTTTTTGTTTGTTTACCTTGACAACACACAAGACTCCTTCATTTGTATTTGGGTCTGTGCTGATTTTGAAGTTTCCGTTTTCATTTCCCTGTAGGATTGTGTACACAGCCTTTGAGTGAGCAGTATTTGGCAGATCCAGGTCATGAACCTTCATTCGTAAAATCTCAACGTCAATTCTGTTTTCTTCTACTTCTGCAAAATACTAAACAAATTGCCTGTTGTTATTATAAATGTATTGCTTTAATAATATGATTTTCTCTTCTAAAACTTATATTAAAGGAAAGGAAAGCAAAGCAATATGGAAATGTGCAATCACATATTGGGAAGAATTTAGAAATTTAATGCATAGTTTACTTCTTTCCTCACTATTTTTTCAAATCTTATTTACCCTGGAAAGACTAACTTATACCTTAACTTTCCTACTTCTCTGAGGCAATTTTCCTACTCATATTTGTCTCTATTCTGAATCTATAACATTTACAGTGTATCACCCCCTTTCAGATACAGCAAGCACTTAATAAATGCTTTACAGTTACATATTTAGCCCTAGATATTTATAGATAATTATAACCTATATTGATTTCTTATTTTTACTGGGTGATCTGTTTATTATGCCAATTATTTAAAAATTTACTTCTGATTCACTGGCAAACACTTTAAGGAAATTAATTTTTCTTTTTTCTTTTTCAGAAATTAAATCAGAGTTTCTTCCCACCTCCAAAAAATAAGTAAGGTTATGGAAGCATATGAGACTAAAATAATAGTAATCAGAATCTCCTAGAGATGTAGGATGAACTCAGAGAAGGATGTCAGCCTCAGAGCCTTAGGAGCAAAACAGATCTTGAGTCTAACTCCAGTGTTCCTCTCACTTGGTTTATATGAATGAGATCAGAAGCAAGTCACTTAACTGGCCTTCCATTCTCTCATAAGAAATGTGGAAGAAGTCCTATCCTTACAAGTTATAGCAATTAATGTAAGAAATTTGTATGGATGGCTCATCACTGCGGGTATGATTTGATTTGTACTCTGATAATCATTAATGAAAAAATGAAGATCACTTTCTAAAAGAACAAGAAAGAAGAAGTATTTCCTGGAATGTTTCTCCTATCTATGCTTCCTATTTTGTGTAGTCCTGAGGGGAAGGTTTACTCTATACCTGACCTGTGAAGAGCCTGCCCAGAGACTACTGACTTCCCAGCAGAGCAAAGGGAGTGCAGTGAGTCTTTCTTCACCCCTAAGATGTTGAAGGATCAGTGACACCAGAGAGAGGGTCCCTTCTCCTTCATCCTATGAGAGGCCTTTAAATCCAAGAAATCTGATGCCACTGCATGGCATCCAAGAAAACACTAAATACATGAAGGGCTTCAGGGGCCAAGCAGCTTCCATGTGGCCAAGGAAATAGTCATTTCCCTCCATCCAGAAAAACTGGCACTTCAGTGATTTTTAAAGAAATCCTATTATGTTTGCCTATTTATTTTAAGTGGTAGCTATTAAAACCAAACCGTGTACTCTCACAGAGCTACCACATTCTAGATTTGTTCTTTGAAGAGGTGAATGAACTTAGATAAGTGAATACAGAGATATACTCACAGAATTTTCTGTAAAATATGGTGAATTGTCATTTTCATCTTCGAGTGAAATAGTGATTGTTCCTGTATTAAACAAACCAAAATGTTGGCCTCCCATGTCTCGTACCTCCATGATTAACTGGTATGTATCACATTTCTGAAAAAAGGGAAAAGGAACATTGATGACCATCCCCTCCCCCTAAAAAAATGAGCAAAACTAAAAATAGAGCGAGAGATTGGTCAGTCAGAACAACGGGAGGCTGATAACCTTTCAAAACTTCAAAGCCATTTTTTTCTATGTCAGCATTCAGTCAAGCCAATAACCTCAGGTGAGACCCCATCTCACACCCTGTCCCTCCCCAAACCCTCTGCACAGACAAAGGAAGCGAGCGGAGAAGCCCTAACCACAGCCTGTCGGGAAGCAAGCTTGGAGAGGCGGCCCCGGGGCCCATCTAACTCTCCCGGGGGTTCATTATCAGTTTGAATATAGGCTAGTGACTGGGAAAGTAATCAATTCATTACTTCTCTGTCCAGTAAGAGTGAAGTTGTGGTGATGACGCCGGTGTCTGGGTGGATGGAGAAATGCTTGGGATGGTCCGGGATTTGCTGTAAGATTTTATATTTCAGACGAGTGTGTAGGGTGTCAGGTTCGTCGAGGTCGATGGCAGTCACTTTCCCCACAGAAGTTCCTGTTTAAGGAAGTCCGATATTGTCAATAATTTAAAATAGCAGCATTACAAACAACAGTAAAAGCAAGGCATTGCTATAGCATGTTCTCCCCCGAACCACAAGTATATCTTTTATCGGTAAGTGGAAGAGTATGAATGCTCTCCAAAACTCTGAGCTTCCCTGACTTTGAACATTCAGCTAAGTGATTACAATGAATAACATGATTTGTGGGCCATCTCTAGGAGAACATTCACCCCACCCTTGGTAACAGTGGTTCTCCAACCCACGCCCCCGGTTCACAGGCCACTTTTGGATGGGACCGTCTCTGTATACCTTGTGTCCTTTATAGTTCAACCTGATGATGTTAATTAGAGGAATAGTACAGCTTTGCATATGATAAAGATGTTATGCTTTTATATTTTAATAAATATGCTGAATTATTAACATATGCAAGTAATTATTAATAAATGTTAGACACAAACATTTTGCCTTGGGCCGAGCTTTATGGCCCAGAAACCAGTGTACTGAATATGGCTTTAACAAACCACTTATTTTAGGAGAATAATATTAAATATACACATGTAATGGCAACAGACTAGAGGAGCTAAGAACAACATTTCTTGCAGGTTTTTTAAAAAGTAGGCAGTCTTGTCAGGCCCCTGGGTATACCAAGATCACAATTTTGGCAGCCCAGAGCATCAAACAAGTTTAGGTTATTTTTTTCATTTTGTCTGAAAAATATGCCACGTAAAGCAATGTATATTGTTATAAGTCAGGCCTTTCCATGCCATAATATATTTCTAGGTCCTTAAAAATGTAGCGAGACTTTATAAATATTCAAATGATTCTGCTTTATAAATACACCTGTGACAGATATGTACAAGGTCAAATTAGAAAATATAAACAGCATTTGTCACACATTCATATTCATTGTGGATTAACCTAACAAAGTTAGTGACTTTATGCATTAGCTGCCTCCTATATGTGCATAGCAAAATGAGCACCAACAGGTTTGCATTTGAAGAGGATATGATCTCATAAGACTACAAAGTTTTATGTGGAATATTCTTGAAAGGCAAGCGTTGAAACATGTTTAGCATAAACTGCTTAAGACAGTAATGAGTAACTCAATTGAAGCAAAAAATCGAGTGTTCTCCTAAACTGTGAACTTACCAGTTCTGCAGTTTTCCGGCACAGTGAAGATAGTCACTTTGTTTTCAAAATACGGGGCATTATCGTTATCATCTTCAACCTTGAACAGTAAGGGGAGGGGGTACTCTGGCGCGTACCCATCGGCGGTGGTGGCATAGGCGTACAGCTGGAAGGCAGACAGACACCAACAGCTCACTCTTACATAACACATATGCACAGAATTAAACCTGGCCGCTGGGGAAAGACAACATGTCTAGAAGGTGTATGTAACTAAGAACTTAGGCCACAGGGGACAGCACACCAGCACGGTCTAGGCCGGCCGTATGGCTTCAATCTTCCCTCAACACTCATTCTTCTCCCAGTGCCATGCATGCCAGCTGAGTGAGGCGGTCCATTCCCTGAGCTGATTGCATGCTTTTCTTCTCATTAGAATGCATGTAGACTCCCCCCAGTTATGCTAATAACAAGTATTTTTTTTAAGTTTATAAAAAAACAATTCTATTTACTTGCAGTTGATATATCAACTATCTCTGGGTGACTCAATTATTTTTTCTCTCTATTTACTTGAATTTTCTCATTTTTTCTACCAAAAACATGCATTTCTTATGTAATAAAAATGCCAATAAATACATACACAACTCAAAATGATATATCTTGGCAGAAAACGCCAGCATTTAATGTCCTTTCCCTTTAAACACCATCAAATTATTTCTGTACTTTTATGTGGTTTGTGCATGGTTAAGTGGTCAATGAATGGTTCTTGAGTTCAACAGGTTTTCTTCACTGATAGAACCAACTAAACCTGCCCCAAATGAAATCTATGTTAACTCAGTTCTTCTCCATGCAACTAGCTCTCCCTGATTTCCCTACTGTAACCATCTTCTAAAATGAACCAGAATTAAAATTCCAGGTACATAACTCCTCCCTTTCTTTCATTAGCCTTTTTAGTCAGTTGCCAAGTTCTAGCATTTATGGCATTTCTATGTCCCTATCCTCTATCTTCTCTGTGACTGGGCCCCATCTCAGAACGATTAAATCAGAATTTCTGGGGATAGATCAGAGAAGCATAATTTTTTAGGTTTTTTAAAAAGTAGGCAGTCTTGTCAGGCCCCTGGGTATACCAAGATCACAATTTTGGCAGCCCAGAGCATCAAACAAGTTTAGGTTATTTTTTTCATTTTGTCTGAAAAATATGCCAAATAAAGCAATGTATATTGTTATCAGTCAGATTCGCCTTTCCATGCCATAATATATTTCTAGGTCCTTAAAAATGTAGCGAGACTTTATAAATATTCAAATGATTCTGCTTTATAAATACATCTGTGACAGATATGTACAAGGTCAAATTAGAAAATATAAACAGCATTGGCCACACATTCATATTCATTGTGGATTAATCTAACAAAGTTAGTGACTTTATGCATTAGCTGCCTCCTATATGTGCATAGCAAAATGAGCACCAACAGGTTTGCATTTGAAGAGGATATGATCTCATAAGACTACAAAGTTTTATGTGGAATATTCTTGAAAGGCAAGCGTTGAAACATGTTTAGCATAAACTGCTTAAGACAGTAATGAGTAACTCAATTGAAGCAAAAAATCGAGTGTTCTCCTAAACTGTGAACTTACCAGTTCTGCAGTTTTCCGGCACAGTGAAGATAGTCACTTTGTTTTCAAAATATGGGGCATTATCGTTATCATCTTCAACCTTGAACAGTAAGGGGAGGGGGTACTCTGGCGCGTACCCATCGGCGGTGGTGGCATAGGCGTACAGCTGGAAGGCAGACAGACACCAACAGCTCACTCTTACATAACACATATGCACAGAATTAAACCTGGCCGCTGGGGAAAGACAACATGTCTAGAAGGTGTATGTAACTAAGAACTTAGGCCACAGGGGACAGCACACCAGCACGGTCTAGGCCGGCCGTATGGCTTCAATCTTCCCTCAACACTCATTCTTCTCCCAGGGCCATGCACGCCAGCCGAGTGAGGCGGTCTATTTCCTGAGCTGATTGCATGCTGTTCTTCTCATTAGAATGCATGTAGACTTCCCCCAGTTATGCTAATAACATTTTTTTTAAGTTTATAAAAAAACAATTCTATTTACTTGCAGTTGATATATCAACTATCTCTGGGTGACTCAATTATTTTTTCTCTCTATTTACTTGAATTTTCTCATTTTTTCTACCAAAAACATGCATTTCTTATGTAATAAAAATGCCAATAAATACATACACAACTCAAAATGATATATCTTGGCAGAAAACGCCAGCATTTAATGTCCTTTCCCTTTAAACACCATCAAATTATTTCTGTACTTTTATGTGGTTTGTGCATGGTTAAGTGGTCAATGAATGGTTCTTGAGTTCAACAGGTTTTCTTCACTGATAGAACCAACTAAACCTGCCCCAAATGAAATCTATGTTAACTCAGTTCTTCTCCATGCAACTAGCTCTCCCTGATTTCCCTACTGTAACCATCTTCTAAAATGAACCAGAATTAAAATTCCAGGTACATAACTCCTCCCTTTCTTTCATTAGCCTTTTTAGTCAGTTGCCAAGTTCTAGCATTTAAGTCCTCATGTCATTTATAAAGTACAGGCAGGGTTGAGAATAATTCAACTATGTTATTGTAGGGAACTTTGAACTCAATAAAATTAACTGTTGTTGTCCTCGGATTCCCTAGATCGAAACCTGTCCTTTAAAATGCTGTCATATTTTCTATAGTTCTCCCCCCACTTTTCTTCCCTTTTTTACCCAGTATGTCCCATGAATAGCGAGACTTTATAAATATTCAAATGATTCTGCTTTATAAATACACCTGTGACAGATATGTACAAGGTCAAATTAGAAAATATAAACAGCATTTGTCACACATTCATATTCATTGTGGATTAACCTAACAAAGTTAGTGACTTTATGCATTAGCTGCCTCCTATATGTGCATAGCAAAATGAGCACCAACAGGTTTGCATTTGAAGAGGATTTCTTATTCATATTCTGAATGTACAAAGCCACAAACTCGATAGGGAAGAATACATATCTACTGTCTTTCTTCATCAATGGCATCAATAGAAATTTGAAGTTTATATTACACATTATCTATATAAAATTTGAAATCAAATTATTGATCCTTCTAATACATAAACAATGCTGAAAATATTAAAGCAGTCATAAACAACATAATTCTTAAGGACACATATGTAATAATATGATCTCATAAGACTACAAAGTTTTATGTGGAATATTCTTGAAAGGCAAGCGTTGAAACATGTTTAGCATAAACTGCTTAAGACAGTAATGAGTAACTCAATTGAAGCAAAAAATCGAGTGTTCCAAAACAAAACAAAACAAAATAATTATGAAAAAATATATATAAATAACAACCTCAAAAAAAAAAGTAACCTAATGATCTTACCGGGAACTCTTGATATTGTTCACGATCTATGCTTCGTGTACAAAAGATATCCCCAGTGTCTTTATTTATGAAGAACAAATTGAAGGGCTCTTTGTCCACTCCTGGGCCACTTATCGAGTAAAAGATGGTGTAGTTCTGTGCGGCATCAGATTGGACCTACAGCAACGAGTGACAATTTAGGATAAAAAATATCTTCAACCTAAAATCTTGCCATGGTTGATTTTTTTTATCACCTGCTTTCTTTCCTACTAACCCATTCTTTCTTTCCTCCGTTTATCTACCCAGTATGCCCCATGTCTCCTAAACTGTGAACTTACCAGTTCTGCAGTTTTCCGGCACAGTGAAGATAGTCACTTTGTTTTCAAAATATGGGGCATTATCGTTATCATCTTCAACCTTGAACAGTAAGGGGAGGGGGTACTCTGGCGCGTACCCATCGGCGGTGGTGGCATAGGCATACAGCTGGAAGGCAGACAGACACCAACAGCTCACTCTTACATAACACATATGCACAGAATTAAACCTGGCCGCTGGGGAAAGACAACATGTCTAGAAGGTGTATGTAACTAAGAACTTAGGCCACAGGGGACAGCACACCAGCACGGTCTAGGCCGGCCGTATGGCTTCAATCTTCCCTCAACACTCATTCTTCTCCCAGGGCCATGCACGCCAGCCGAGTGAGGCGGTCTATTTCCTGAGCTGATTGCATGCTGTTCTTCTCATTAGAATGCATGTAGACTTCCCCCAGTTATGCTAATAACATTTTTTTTAAGTTTATAAAAAAACAATTCTATTTACTTGCAGTTGATATATCAACTATCTCTGGGTGACTCAATTATTTTTTCTCTCTATTTACTTGAATTTTCTCATTTTTTCTACCAAAAACATGCATTTCTTATGTAATAAAAATGCCAATAAATACATACACAACTCAAAATGATATATCTTGGCAGAAAACGCCAGCATTTAATGTCCTTTCCCTTTAAACACCATCAAATTATTTCTGTACTTTTATGTGGTTTGTGCATGGTTAAGTGGTCAATGAATGGTTCTTGAGTTCAACAGGTTTTCTTCACTGATAGAACCAACTAAACCTGCCCCAAATGAAATCTATGTTAACTCAGTTCTTCTCCATGCAACTAGCTCTCCCTGATTTCCCTACTGTAACCATCTTCTAAAATGAACCAGAATTAAAATTCCAGGTACATAACTCCTCCCTTTCTTTCATTAGCCTTTTTAGTCAGTTGCCAAGTTCTAGCATTTAAGTCCTCATGTCATTTATAAAGTACAGGCAGGGTTGAGAATAATTCAACTATGTTATTGTAGGGAACTTTGAACTCAATAAAATTAACTGTTGTTGTCCTCGGATTCCCTAGATCGAAACCTGTCCTTTAAAATGCTGTCATATTTTCTATAGTTCTCCCCCCACTTTTCTTCCCTTTTTTACCCAGTATGTCCCATGATTTTTAAATTCTTATTCATATTCTGAATGTACAAAGCCACAAACTCGATAGGGAAGAATACATATCTACTGTCTTTCTTCATCAATGGCATCAATAGAAATTTGAAGTTTATATTACACATTATCTATATAAAATTTGAAATCAAATTATTGATCCTTCTAATACATAAACAATGCTGAAAATATTAAAGCAGTCATAAACAACATAATTCTTAAGGACACATATGTAATAACTTAATCAATAAAAAGTTAAAACAAAACAAAACAAAACAAAATAATTATGAAAAAATATATATAAATAACAACCTCAAAAAAAAAAGTAACCTAATGATCTTACCGGGAACTCTTGATATTGTTCACGATCTATGCTTCGTGTACAAAAGATATCCCCAGTGTCTTTATTTATGAAGAACAAATTGAAGGGCTCTTTGTCCACTCCTGGGCCACTTATCGAGTAAAAGATGGTGTAGTTCTGTGCGGCATCAGATTGGACCTACAGCAACGAGTGACAATTTAGGATAAAAAATATCTTCAACCTAAAATCTTGCCATGGTTGATTTTTTTTATCACCTGCTTTCTTTCCTACTAACCCATTCTTTCTTTCCTCCGTTTATCTACCCAGTATGCCCCATGTTTTTTAAATTCTTATTCATATTCTGAATGTACAAAGCCACAAACTCTATCACTAACTTTATCCAAAATTCTTTTGTGTTATCTGCATACTTAAAGAAAATTCATGGAGTTAAATATACTTTTATAATTCTTATCCACTTGTCCCTATGCCTATATAAATGACAGTAATAGTTTTGGTAATTTTGAAAAACTTTGTGATTAAATAAAGGAAAAATACTATAAGTTTCCTCCCACAATTAATTCTTCAATAGTTTCAAAGCTGGCCTATGTTTACACACCACCTATGTGGCGGTGACGCTACCTTTGTGGTAAACAGAAATATTGGACTCTTTTTTGGTAAGCTTACATGAGAAATGGAAAGTTAAATTATGCAAAATGGGTAAGCATGCCCTCTGCACGTGAGTGCTAGGATGGTAGGGTATTTAGGAAAATCTGGGTATAGACCTAAGAGCCCCAGAAACTCAAAATACGCAACATTCTAAGTGCTAACTATGGTTTCTGGAGGAAAGCAACAAATTACACTGACTCACTTCCACAGGCCCTTATTCTGTAAATAGATGATCCTTATTAGTACCAATAAGTTCAAGCCCTGCTTCAGAATACTGCGCAATTCAAACGGGAAATGTAAAAGCAAACAAACAAGAACCCTCCAACGTGTCAAATCAAACAATATGCAAGGTACCTGCTGGACGTGCTGTGGGAATGGGCCTAACGAGTTCTCCATCAGGGAGCACGGAATCGGGGCCCAGCGCCTCTTGCTGCGCTTGAGGGCTGCGTTTTTGGTGTGTCTCTTTCTCAGAACCTGCGTTTGGTGAGAGAGAGAGAAATGTAGCGCCGCTTGTCATTCTGGGAACTGTGATTCTAACATTTATATCAGCAGGAAAATAGTAAGGGTGGTCATAACACTATCATGGATAACCAACTCCCAAACTATTTCTGTTTTTTATTATTTTGCTAGAGGCTTGTTGCATGAAAAGATTCGTGCAATAGGCCTTCCCTCCCCCTGGCTGCCAGCACCGGTTTTCCTCTGGCACCAGGGACCCAGGCCTTTGCTCCGGCCAGAGCTGCCTTCAAGCCTTCGCGGCTCTGGCCGGAGCTGCCTTCAGTCTTCGCTCCGCTGCTTTGTGCCTACGTATGCAAATTAACCGCCATCTTTGTTGGTGGTTAATTTGCATATCTTGCTGATTAGCCAAAGGGAGGTGTAGCAAAGGTACAGTCAATTACCGTGTTTGTCTATTATTAGATAGGATTGATAAGATACACACACACACACACACACACACACACACACACACACACGTAAGAACCAGTTTCACCAAATTCCTGATTTAACCAGTTAAGTAACCAGAACTTTATAAGGCATTGGTAAAAGAGGTCATCTTGAGAAGTATAGACTCCCTAAAAATAGCTAATTTATTAACAAATATTTAAGAATTGATTTTATTCCACTAGAAATGGTACAACCAATGTTTTTAAAAATTCTAGCTGTATTTTATATCATTTGTATACCTATATAAAGATACAGGTCAGCATTCATTCAAGTATGTTTTATTTTACATGATATGGAGATTCCTTACAATTTTGACATAAAACAATGTTTTAAAAACTTTGAGCATGTTCTAAATTTGATGAAGAGGCGTTCTTTTGATCAAAAGGAATTTAGATGGAAAAGTCTCATTTCGAATCACTTATTAATAACTGATTTTATAAGACCAAATTCATGTGTAGAGTTGGCTTAAAGTGAGATCTGTGTGAATTCCAGTAACCTTCTCCTTTCTTTTGCCTTGATCACCACCAATCACTGTAAGAAAGTGAGTCTAGAGTCAGAACATTCAAACCAACCCTGTGGACTGGCCATGACTCCATTTCTTGAAGAGAAGGAGCCCAGGGGAGGTTTTCAGTTAAGTTGGAAGTAAGCTTGAGACAATCTCTTCTCTTTAAAGAGACTCACCCTCACAGTCAGAAGGGAGAGAGCCACTCAGGGTGGAGCGCCACACCTGCAGCCTGAATCAATTTCTCTGTTTCAGACCCACCCCTGTCTCGTTCTACAGGTTGGTTGTTCTTCCTGCCACACCTCAGGGCACTGTCTGGAACCTTTGATATTCTGCCTTTGCTCCCTGGCTACAGAGATGTTCGTTTTTTATACCATTTTGCAAATAGCTCTACCACTCCTTAAACTAGTCTAGTATTTGCACATGTTAATTATCAGTGGAACAGATAAATAAGTGAGCGTTCAAAACAATGATTTTAACAGGCAAGGAAGTCTAGGAAATGAATGACTCACATAAGCAGATCAATATGGTCAAACCTTTGCCTAATATACCTTCTTTCCTCCTGCTTCCAGCACAATTTCCATCTCTCTCTGCTCCTGCTGCTGACTGTCTGACAGGAAAATGGAAAAACTCTTCCTTGGAGGAGACAAGACGAGGTCGTGTGTTGTGTAAACTGAGCCATCTTCCAGAACTCTGAAGTCGGGATCACTTGACCGGATTAGGCTGGCCGACCGGAGACACTCCTTCACATTCACTGCAGGGGAGAAATATCACAGTCACTTGTAAGATGAAACAGCAATAGAACGAGTTCTACAGGAATAACAACTGCACGTTAGTGCATGAGAAGCAGAAAGTTACACTTGAAACTTGTTGAGTGCCGGCTGTTCTAAGGCGGAGAGGCCATGAGCATTAAATAATTAAATTAATGAAGCCACAGTTTCCACTGCTTTCATCGTAAGTTAATTTATGAATAGACAGAAAACATTTTATTAGTGTCACCGGATTTATTGTTTCCACTTTACATTTTATTCATGGATCTGTGCATACATATAAAATTTGTTGATTTATATTGTATTAGTAAACTATGACATCAGTAGATTTTGAACATGTTTGCAGTAATCTTTGATAGTTAAATCTTGCTCACACAAAAGCACACAGAACTGGTCTGTACTTATATAATACTTCTCAGTAATATTGCAAATAATCATTTCATAATGTCTTTTGAAGGTTTAATAAATGCAATACTTTGTATGTATTGTGCTTGTTATCAAAATATTTCTTTTACAGATTTATATTTAATACATTTAGCATATTTGTTGTGTGTCTTTAGAGTACAGACTGTATATCATTGAAATGTTCTAAAAAAATAAAGAATTAATTTAAAGCCCTGGTCCAAGCAATCTCTATCTTGCAAAGAGCACCACCTGTGTATTCAAAGTGTATTTTTTTAAGTGTCACCTTACACTTAGATGGGAGGAATGTTATCTTTGGACTCAGAACAACCAACCTACGCTTCCGATGTGGCTGTAATGGGAAGACCGGCTATAATTTTATTTGACTTTCACAAGATATTCTGTGACATAGATCACATACATTCTTGTGGGGTATTGGTTCATCGTAATCAACCTCAAGCACAACTTTGCTTCTGCGGCATTTCGGTTTTGAGACCTCTCTTTTACACATTATCAGTGAAAGAATCTTGGCTTTGGAATTTGGGCAGCAGGTTAGTCAACATGAACTAAAATACGCTTCTGGTTTTGGTGTCTTGCTTTGTTTGAACTAAAGGAAGATAATTTAGCCCTCTGATGTTCACTAATTTTTCTGGCATGAAAAGTATACAACCAACTCGGCACCGTAGTTGTTTCTAACCACTTTCAAAAAACGACTAGACCCTCTTTCATTTTATGTCAGATTTTAATGCCAAGTATCTACTGTATGGCTTTTATCCCAAACTTGACAAGAGCAGCCTGAAGCTAAATGTACAGTCAAAACTGGGGAATTCGTAATGCTGATTCTCACCTTTGCCTACCAGTGTTTCAGCCTGAAGATGAGAAGGAACTTGAAGAGAAATTTTCCGACAAGCATCGCAAAACAATATTAAAACCTCGAAAGAAAGAAAAATCAGGAATTACATTTCATTATAAATTTTCACATTACAGTTTTGTCTTATTGATAAAAATATTGCCAATTTCAGCAACAAAGAAATGTTCTAATCCTTCATTTTTTTCATCTTTATTTTAAAAGGAAATAGCAAAGAAAGTGGCTTGAGGGACACCACAGTCATTTAGTATTAATGAAATAATTAAAGTGAATAGTAGTTCTTGGCACCTAAATCACATTAAAAATTTTAAGAAAATGTGTTACCAACCATTGATTTTATATAGAAGTTATCATCTTTAAGGTCATTCATAAGTGTCATTCTGATTTTTTAGCATAAAGCAAGTACTTAACCCTGGAATATAATAATGGCATTGTTATACACAAACCATCATTTTTACAGACCCCCACAATTTGAAGTTATAGTTGATTAAGTCTAGAAAATATCTGAAAATTATTTAACCTCTTAAAGAACAATACCCAAAATATTCACTGATATAAAATCATTCCTTGGATTGGCTAGGCACAAACATCAAAGTCTAAATTTTATATATATATATATATATTTCAAAATATAGAGCATAGCCTTCAATGGGGTAAATATTTCTAATTAAATTTAAGACACAACTATTGTCTTAAAAAGCTATCAGTTCAAGGAAAGTAGGTTTATTTGCTCCAGCATCAGTACAGAAATGTGAGTAATATGTTGTCTACAATGTTAGGGCAGCTACAATGTCACAAGGTAATAGGAATTTTTCAGTTCCATTAGGATCTTATGGGACCACTGTTATATATGTGCAATTAAAAAATATTTGTCTTCAGTTTTAATTTAAATAACCACTTTTTAGAACATGAGATGTTTTAATTTATTTGCCTTTTTAATATTTTTATTCCTAATGCCAAGGAATGAACTAAATCATATCTAAAGACCTTTCTGAGCATAAAGAATTCTATTACTAATCATCTAAATATATAATGTGGAAAGAGCATTTTGTGATTAGAAATATGTATACATATACAAATAGATACATACACATACATACATATGCATACACACATATTTACACATTATTTTCACAGGATAGACCCATATTCCCCTTCCTACACCCATCTTCTCTCCTTCCTGCCCAGGACCCCTGAATGTTGGTTCTGCCTTTGCCAGCAGAGCTAGTGGAAGTCTCCAGAACTCCCATTCCAAGTCCTCAGGCTAAGTTAGCAGCTTAGCGATTTAGAGGGAGGAGGGGGTGAGACACCCTTTTGGTCATCATGAGGATAAGGGATAGATGGGCAAGGGATGAACCAAAGGATGCTGGACAGAACAGAGACTAAAGCAAAAGAAATCTGGGTGAACCCTTGGACCTAACTAGTGCCAACTCAAGTAGGTCTCTGAGTTTCATTACCCTCTAGGCAGTTACAGCATGAGCACAAAACCATCAATCCCACATGATGTATTATTAATATGGAGAAAATATTTATCTCCATTCAATAAAATATTTACATTCTGAGAATATAATTTGAAGTTCAAATATTTTGCCGAAATTAAAAGCGTTTCGAGAAAATTCAGTGTTCAGAAATGCCAGATATGTGGGACAACTCACCTCTACCCCCTCCCACCAAAATCAAAATTGGCACCTGAGTACACTGTTATAACGTTATTAAAAACCTAAGTGGGCCCTGGCCAGTGTGGCTCAGTTGTTTGAGCATCGTCTCATGTGCCAAAAGGTTGCCGGTTTGATTCGTGGTCAGGGCACATGCCTAGGTTGCAGGCTTGATATCCCCAGTAGGAGGCGTGCAGGAGGCAGCAGGTCGATATTTCTCTCTCATTGTTTCTCTCTCATCGATGTTTCTCTCTCTCCCTCCCTCCCTCTCTCTCTAAAATCAATAAAAACATTAAAACACACACACACACACACACACACACACACACACACACACACACACACACACACACACACACACACACACACACACACACACACACACACAAAGGGGAGGTCAAGTTAATGTTATTTTTTCAATGACTATTACATTATTCTTATTTTTCTCATGTAAAACCCTTTGCTTTAAGAGCTCCACCCTTCTCTTAGCTCTTCCCGAGTTAAGAAAGTCTTGAATAATTCCCATCTTTACCCAGAATCCTTTTCATCTTCTCCCTGCTTAACAGAACCAACCAAGCACGTTAAATAACTGCAGCTTATTTAATGACGAGTAGCAAAAGCAAACCTCAGAACCTTCTGGGCCAAATGCCTGAGGAATGAATCCATCCCACTGCTCCTTAGGGAAACACCACAGCAAGACTGAACAGGGGATTCCCTTCAGACACGAACAGTCTGGCCTGGGCACTTGGAGAGTCAGCGAAACACCTGCCTTCCCGAGTCCCAAGTTTTCTCACTCTTCCTTGGGTTTTTCTCAGATCTGCTTTGTTTTGGTTTATCTCTGCCTCCCACCCTGTCCCCTTCTCTTTCAAGCCCAGCTGGAGGAGGGAGGAGGGAGGAGGGAGCTAGCGCACGGTAACCTGCCTGAATCCCTTAATCCCTGGCTGTTACTCACCAGGAGAGAGAAAAGGAGCTGCCTGCAGAAGAGGCCCCCCGGGGCAGCGGAGGCCGCAGCCATCAGAGCGGTCCCCGTGGCAGGGACGTGGCTGGTGACAGGGCAGCTGGGGATGCACGAGGCGCCCGAGCAGATTCCCAGAGGCTGGCACTGAGCAGGGTACTCTGCTGCTACCCTGGCCCGGAGCAGCTCGATTTGGAGGAGAGTCAAGAGTCCTGCTGAGTGACAAGAGGAGGAGCAGCCGGAGAACTGCTTCCCTCCTCTGCCTGGGTCAGCCTTTCTCCATCCAATTCAATTCCCTCGGAATGTGAGAGGTTTGCCTACCAGTGGGGCGGGTGGGGTGCAACACAGCCCCAAACCCAGTCACTAGCTCCTCCTCACTGCAGCTTTCAAAACTTCCCCCGCCACTTGACACATCAGCAGAAGCAGGAGGGAACTCCCTGGCCCTCCTCCCCTTCCCCCCAGGTGGATGCTCTGAAGTCCTCCCCAGTCATTACCCACTCCCACGGCCTCCCCTCCCCCTTGGCCTTATTAACCTATCTTGCCCCTGGGTGCAGTTGTGCACAACTCCATGCAAGGAAGTGACACCTACTCAGCTGCCATTGGCAAATCAGGGGACACGGGCACATGTAATCGCATCATCAGAAGCTATCTCCCCATCTGAGCATCTGGGTGGAGGCCGGCTCCCTCAGCGCTGCAGCTCTGAGAGCGGGCACTCCCCAGGAGCTCACACATGCATCCTGTCTACTCCCTGTGCTGTCTGCCCTCGGGGCTTGGTCCTCCGGATGCCCCAAGGAATTTAGCAGAATGGAGATAGTCCTCAGAAAAGTAAGAGAGTAAAGAAATAGCTGAGATATGATTTTCTTGTTGCATACTTTTTATTATGCATGAAGCAATATTTTTTCCTGAGTATCTTTATTCAAAAGCAACAACTGTCTGAGACCCACTGTCTTTAAAATCACTCCATTCATCCTAATTACTTGTACATTACATGCAGGATATCCTAGCCTAAAAGTACGAAATGTCACCAAGTTTACTCTTTTAAACACTCATGACCCTTGCAATGAAGACTTTAGCACCAGTTCTCCTGCCACAACTTGGTGAGTTCAATATCAATTGCACACGACACCCGTGATGGCATTTGGGGAAGGAGGGGAAATATTTTCAAGTGGTAACTGCCTAATTCGGGGAAGAGAGAGGGAAGTAAAAGTGACCATGACGGGCATTTCAGTGAGTCCCCCCGAGTAGTCCAGTGAGGACTCCTTTTAAAGGATGAAACCGTGAGAAAGTAAGCAAGCACCCTCGGCCCATGAACCCACAGACAATGGGAAGTACGCATCTGAACCGGGTCTCACTGCCACCCAGGTGCAGTCACTTTGAAAAGGAGCAGAAAGTATTGATCGGGTTCATGAGAAATCTGTCTGGCTGGACAATAAGCCAGGGTGAGACTAATAACAGGTATTCAGGAACACTTAAAATCTATCCTATTCCTGACAGCCCATCGTTCCAGAATACGCCCATCCGGGCTCTTGCGTGAGAGTCATCCTACAGCGAAGTAAAATGGCTGGTAAACTACTGACTTTGTAAGTTTTTATACCAGAAATGACTCTTCCTGCTCCTGCTACTCACATTTCCTTCCATCTCATGCTTAACTGAGGAATAAAGGGCCAGCCCGATCCCCAGGCGCAGAGGAAAGAAGGAAGGAACATTTTCTTTTGCTGATGTGACACGAAGGGCAATCTATCTTGTATGAGAGGTGAACATAATAACATTACTGCTTCTTTGCAGTTACGGGCCAGAGAGATTTGGGAAATAAAAACTCTGGAACAAGAACTAAAAGATATCTTTGTAGTATTTTATTGCCAAAGACATAGCCACCAATAAGTATATTTTATGCCTTCATTGAAATTTGATTTCTCAATAAGAAAACAAAACACTTTAACTGACTATTTTTATATCTAATATTTTTGGGGAAAGGATGGAAATATAGAAATAGGAATAATTACCTAAGTGGGTACGTGCAGAACCAAGTGTAACTCTGTGTGTGCATGTTTAAGCATTTAATTATCTAAGTGTATATCTAAATGTATATGTCTGTAGCTTAAAGATTCAAGGTCTCCAATCCTGGAAAGTGGAAATACATTTTCCTCCTAATGAAGTCATTGTTACATATTTCTATATTATGGAAATGGCAAAGAATGCATTGCAAAAGTCAGACTGGCCATACTGAAAAGTTAGCATGCATTGCCTTTTGGAGAGATGCGCGGATTGCTAAGTTCAAGTGAGTCCAGTATAGTCTCCACGGTTCTGCAAAATTGATTATTTTGATCCTACATCTTTTAGGCTGCATTACATTTCTTCTCCCATTATCTACCTCAATAGTAATTTTAAAAAACTTGTACTTACTATAAAGATGAAAAAGAAAAGGTAAAGATGAAAAGGAAAGAAAAAAAAAGA